TTCATCGGCTTGAGCACAAAAACCTACAGCTCTAAGCAGTTGTTGAGGACAGAGGACGTGCTGTTACCCAGTTCTCTGATATATACAGCAGTATAACACCATCCTTGCAATAAAAGTACAGAATGAGCCTCTAAAGATGCCTTTTGACTAGATGTTTGTAAGTGGATTTAGGTTTAATGACAAACTCCTCTTGCTTATTTCCCACTTTTACTCATCCTTCTTTTTGGGGGGAGGGTGGCTGACAGGGGTTGTTCTTTCCCAAGCTCAATATTAAATAAAAGAAATCCAAAAATATATTGAAAATGCACTCTTAAGTCATGGCACAAGGCATATTTCAAATGAATGCAGCTGAAAACCTCCAAACTATCAAAAAGCTATTTCAATAAGGGATTTTCACTTACTTGAGACATTCAAGACATTGACACAACTTCTAAAAAGATTAATGTCTTCCAAGTATTTTAACTCAATTAAATTGACAAAATCTCCAGCACATGAAGGTGACAACAACCCCATGGTCCACATTTCAGTATTCCCAGGCCACAGAGGGCTTCCCAAAGCTGACTATTTTAGGGAGAGCTTTCAGGCAGTCTCTCAGCTGACTCTTGCAGGCCATGTCCAGATATGCCCAGAAATTTTTAGTAATGAAGGAGCAAACCACAGCAGTGTGCATTAACTCGTGTGTGCATTCCACATCTCAGCCACAACAAATCACAAACACGGAACAGGACCTGACACACACTATTTAATTTGACCTTTGACTATGACAGAGCCAAAGCAAGGTGACTCCAGCCCATAAATATTCCTGACTCCACCAGCATTGAAGATGTTCAGCCTTCAAACCTTGAAGGGAAGCAAACAACAGCACTGAATCCCTGCAGTTGTTTCACCTTAAATAGACAGAAGGGACGTGTTGACACTGAAGTGATGCTTTGCAGTTCAGGCAATCTGTGTTCAACTGCCAGGCTTGACTAAGCTCTGGATGCAGTAGGAGAATTAAAGACAAGCCACAGTTCTCTCACCTCATCCAAAGCCTCCTGGAGCTGCAAAATGCATAGGAGAGACTCCTGGCTGAATGGGATGTTACTGTGCTTCAGTACAGCACAGCAAGGAATGGACCTGCATCATTTTCATTTTTAGCATTCAAGAAGATTAAATTAAAATAGTCAAAAAAACCCACAAATATAGAAACATACAACAATTGTAATCAAGGTGGCAAGAAACTAGCAATGTGTTCATCACTGGAACAGTTTGGGAGTTACCCAGAACCAGTTTGTACCCTTGATCAAGGGATTTCTTTGCATCAGCCTCCTGCAGTAGGCAGATAAAATGTAGCCGTTCCATCTATATAAAACCTGTTTAGATACATAAATCCTTGCAAAGTGGCTTTTTATTTTGAGGCAAAACCAGAAAGAATTATACGCTGCATTAAATATTTTCTTCTTTGTCCTCTTCTCGACCGTCTGCAAGATCAATTAAAGTGCTTTTGCATAAAACAGGCAGAGAGGAACACGTTCCAAAAAATAAATAAATAACAATGCCACTCTTTGCTTTCAGTATGATGCCTGAAGAAAACAAGCGTAATGACTTAAAGATTCCCACAGTGAAAAAGAAGAAAATGATGAAGGTTTAATCATACACTTACAAGGCAGCAAAACACATTTCTCAAGTCTTAATATCTCTTGTGAAATTTTAAGTGCTCAGCCACAAATATTAGCAACAAGCTGAAGCAAGCTGAGTCGTTTCCCCTGCCCTCACACAGAAACATGTGCAAGTCCCTCCCTTGGTTTCCATCCCTTTTCTATTTGCAAAAATATCCCAATGAAACTATGAGCCTTTAAGATGTTATGATTTAACACGTTCCTCGCCTTACGGAGGTCTCGCTGTCCTGGAGCTCAGCAACCTCTCTGTCCAGCTGCATTGCAACATCTGGAAGCACCAGCACGATTTCCCCACAGGCTGACCAGCAATGGGAGTCATGGCCACAGCCTTGGCACAGAGAGACAACGCTCAGATCAACTGCTCCCCTGTTGCCAATGGGGAGTGAGGGAAAAGGGAGACAGATCACCCCACCAAAAAACCCCAAGATCTACTTTCCTCTCCCTTAGAATGCCCTTTATCACGTCTGCACAGGGCAAGGGAGGAACTGTTCCCATCAAATCCCCATCATCACAGGTTCTAAGGAAGAAATATTTTAACTGAGGGTGGAGAAACACTGGCACAGGGTGACCAGAGAAGTTGTGGATGCCCCATCCCTGGAAGTGTTCAAGGCCAGGATGGGGCTTGGAGCAACCTGGGACAGTGGGAGATGTCCCTGCCCATGGCAGGGGTGTTGGAAGTGGATGATCTTTAGGATTCCTTCCAACCCAAGCTATTCTGTGATTCTGTGACTCTATCTGGCCCCAGAGACTTGTGGTGGCCTACGTGGCACAGATGTCACTGACCATTTCCCTTTGGATTATGGGGGCTTCGTTCTGCTCCCTGTCCCTCCAGCTGTGGGACTCATCCCACCATGTTTCTCTCATGGCAGCTGTGCCATATTTTTCCTGCTGCACAGGGGCTTCCAGCTCCCCCTGTTTGTTGTCCATGCTGAGGGCACTGGTGCAGATGCACTTCAGCTGGGCTATTGTTCCCACCACCTCCTTTTGGGGATGGAGCCCTAATTCCTACGTGGCTATTCTCATGGTTTCAAACACATCAATAACTCTGGTGCCTTTGCTGCTGCAGGGATCTCCATCCCCTACCTCCACTGAGACAGCATCCCATGATAAGAAAACCCAAAAATGTGCTGGTGACACCAGGATCAGGGCCAGGTATTGATTTATTGGATCTTCCTGGTTCCTCCTCATCATTCCCTACAACTGGAAGGGTAGAGGAGAACACTACGTGTGTTCCTAATCCCTTAACCAGTTGACCTCACAACAAAACATGAAAGAACTGAGAGGACAGAGAAATCACTGCTCTACAAATTGAAACAGAAGAATAACTTTCAATAATAAAATAAATCAAAAAAATAAGCCCACACGAAAAAGAAAACCGAATATCCAAGAAATGAAAACAAAAGCTAAGAGGTGAATAATTCATTTAGGCAATGTGCAGTGCCCATATTCTACCTGAATTGTTTACATGGAAAGTTCATGGTTTAATCAGAACTGCCGGAACAAGAAAAACCAGTCATAAGTACAACATTTATCTTGAGTAAACAAAATAGGTCTCTGGGTAAGGCATTTTCATTTAAAACAGAAAAAAAAATAGGCTGCAGTTTGTGACGTGACCAGCAAGGGGAGTCGGTGCCCAGAGCTTTGAGGGAACCACGCAGATGCAGTTTTGGGTGGAGAAAACTCAAATAAACAATTCTGAGGTAGTGACATTGATAAAACATTGAAGACTGCCAGAGAATGCTGGAAGATGATGGACAGAGAGCAGAAAACCCACTAACCTGGAAAAGAGAGAGGGCTTGAGATACTAGAGTAGAAAAATAATCATGTTTTGCTTGGAAATCTGTCCCTGAAAGACTTACTGGAGAGCAGGTAATGAAGAGCTCTTAGAGGGGAAAAAGGAAAAGGACAAATGAAATCAAGCCAGGATGGATCTTAGGATAAGAAAATAAGAGTTAATCTCAAAGTACTTCCGAGTACAATATTCTGACAGTAAGGTGAAAAAACTTTGGCCAGATCCTCTGGCCTTGAGGAGACATCCAAGAGGGTACCAGATGTTTGGGAGAAGATGTCAGAGAACGAGGGCTAACCAGGCACCTCATCACTGAGCCCCAGAACCAGAGCAAACAGCGGGGGAAAAACCAAAACTATTAAACACAATTATTAAAAACAACCCTCACAAGGAGTGGGATTTAATAATATTATCCAGCATTTAAAGCAGAATGCCAGCAGTAGGAACTCATTAGGCTCTGTATGGGGAACAGCAGCAAAATCACTGCTGCAGCTCCAGCCATGCTGGGCTCGTCAACAGAAACGGAGCCACCCTGGGCTCCGGGGCCACCGGGAGGGGCACTCAGAGCTTTCGTTCCTTTGCCCTGTTAATCTCATTAACCTTGTATTTACTCTGTTGTTGGTAATTACTCAGAACGTTAATAGGCACGATTTATGCATATTATTTACTGAATGCTACAAATCTCTTCAGCGCCGTGTATGAATCGGGGCTGGAACAAGCCAACGCTCCAAGTGCTATGGAAAACGGAATTAGAGGAATGAAAAATATTTTTAAAATTTAGAAAACCTTTTTTAGGAGTTGTTTCAAATTTCTTCAGTATCTTCAGTTTCTTCGTGCAAGATAACCAATGAATTCAGATAATACATCCATTTCAGATATATCAGAATCATTTTAGATATATCAAAATCCATCCATTTTACTAATTCTATAATAACATCCTAACAAGGAAAAACAGACACTAAACCAAAAATGCCCAAGAAAATACTTATTTCCTCCTGTTAAGCTGGAGCCCATGAAAAAACTATTCCAGCCATGATACAAATTACCGTTAATGATATTCCAGGTGGGAAAACCAGATGCAGTTTAAGAAAACTGTTATTGCTGTTAAAGAACTCCATAGGTTTTACAGACACAGTCTGTTACACCTTGAAAAACGGAACTTTCACTGACCATCTGTTCCTAGCAGAGAACACCCAGCAGCTCTGGCTTTGGCCAGAAAGCCCAACTCAAAGTCAACATACCATGAGCAGGGGACATCCCAGAGCTTAGTGTACAGCCAAGATCAGATGACAGGGGGAGAATTTGGATGGAGATCACCCAGTGGTAACCAGTTAAAATAAAGAAACCACTGCAAGAGCAGAAAATGTGATCCAGAGGTGAACATCTGCGAGAGCAAAGCCCACAGCATTCCTACACCCCAACTCCAGAGCCTCCTCTACAACATGCAGCATCACCTCCAATGAGCTGAAAGGATGTGGAGAAAACCAACCAAAATCAAAGAAAAAAGAATGAAATGAGAAGGATTATCAAGGAAAGAAAACAGCAAAAATTACCTCACCCACAATTTTATTCTGCTGTGCTGTGGAGCCACTTGTTGGGAACTTGGCAGCAATAACCCAATGGACCCAAGGCCCAGCTCAGCAGTATTGTTCCTGTTTAGATAAAAGGGAAAATAAAAAGAAAATCAGATGTGAAAAGCACAAACAGGCTTTTATCTGCTCTGTTTCCCTCAGTCTGAAGCTCAGGGATTCCCAAGACTGAGGTTTAAGCTGTATCTTTAGATTCAACTGGGAGTTTTCACACTCTGTGAATTTGTTAAACATATCCATATATTAGGCAAGCTTTGCTTTTGGCCTACACAATGTCTGTTGACAATGGAACACACACCAAAAAAAAAAAGGAAACAAAAGAACACTTCTTCCCTTTCATTTCAGGGTGCAAACATCAGGGGATGCCTAGCAAAACACAGCAAGTAATTTTCATTTTCTGCAATTTGTGATTTCACATTATTGTCATTTCCCCCTATTTAGCCATGTCATATTTTATAGTTGTATTAGCCAGTTAAACTGGTTTTATTATGTTTTTACTACATTTTTACTACATTTCCTACAAAAAGAAAGCCTGTGCAAATATAGGGATTGCTGAGAGAAAACCACACCACTGAGACAACCAAGTGGACCCAGCACTGGACTTTTGAACATTTTCAGGGATAGTGATTCCACTGCATCCCTCAGCACTCTGTTCAATGCTTGATCACGCTTTCAGTGAAGAAATTTTTCTTATATCCAATCCAAACCTCCTCTGGAGCAACTTGAGGCCATTTCCTCTCATCAGGAACAGCACCCATAAGGATCCAGAAACTCAGATAACTCTGGAGACTGTAATGATATAATAAACTCATTTCCCACACACACTTTCACAACTGTTTGCAGGTTTTTCTGCCCAGATTTGGAAACTAATGCTGCAGAAGGAATTTAATACACTTTTAATGCAGTTTATTAGGCTTTAATAAAAAAGAAAAGAGAAAAGAAGAAGAAGAATGGCTTAGGCAACTCAGGTAGAGGCACTTGTACACTGGGCAAAGTACAGAAATAAAAACATTACAGACTTTTTACAGCAATTATTCCTCAAAGAAAATGTTTTAATGAAAATGCTGATATTTTGGGCTTGTTTTAAGCAGGAGGAGCATCACCACACAGGAGACAGCCTTCCAGACTAACCATGAAAGCCTTCTAATCCCTCCTTATGATGGGATGGTGGAGCAAGCAAAATCACATGGGTTGACACAGGAGCCAAAGAGGATGCCAAAGAAGCTCCTGCCTTGAGTTTTTCTTAGAAAAAACTCAAGAAACCTTAGAAAAACCATCCAATTACCCTTTCCTCCTCTTTGATTACACAATCGACTTCAACACCCTCAAAAGCCAACACCTCCAAAACATGGGGAAAAATAATGATTAAGAGCCTTTAAGTTAAAGTACAGTACCCAGAACCAGCTTTCAAAGACAGGGTAAATAAGGAAGACCTTTAAATTTTAAGATGTTGCTCAGCAGCACTTTGTCATGCCACATCACACAACACTTCTTCCTTGTTATTTCTCTGGCCAAAGGTCAAAATTCTTCTTCCCAAGAGACAAGCCTTCATATAAAAAGAGTGGTGAAACTATTATATCCAACTAATTGAGGAATAATCTCCATCCTGGAGACCTTCCTACATACGATTTATTGCAATTGAAGGCGGGGAGAAAAAAATGACAAAATTTTGTCTGAAACTGAGGCAGCCTTGCTCCAAATGAAAACAGAATTATCTGTGCAGCACACAGAGTCCAGCACTGAAATCTCAGGACATTCATGGATGCTAAGGTAGGAGGTTTTATCACCGTCACATAGCCTTGGGACAAGCATTTTTAAACTGCCTGTACAAGCAAAAAACCAGTGGTAATTTCAATTTTTTAGAACAAGCTAAGCCATGGCACACCCAATCCTGCCAAGTGGGGTTCAGGTCCTTAATTGTAGAAACCTGGTGGTCCAATTTCCCAGAAATATCATTATGCCCATCTCCCAGAGCACCCAGGGCAGCCCTAGGAGGATGAAAACCAATCCTGGAATGATCAAAACCACACCACATCGCACATGACAATTCTTGCCCATCCATCTTCTCATTTCATCTTCCCACCAGTTCCAGCTCCCTAACTGATGTTTTCTTCGCCAATTCAATCTTTTTCTGGTGGTTTCTCCTCAGCAGGGCCTCTCCTTTGTGTCCCTTTTGCATTCTCCATAAAGGAATCCAAGAGGGATGTGATTCCTTAGTTGGTATCAACTGGGACAACTTCATTACAGGGAGGAATTAATGACAACTCTGCTCACCTGCAGGTTTTGGGTTTTTTTTTTAAGCCATCGTGTATGTAACTCACACGATGTCAGTACAGGAATATCACACTAAGGCTCTGGAAAGTAAGGGGCGGGTTTTCCTCGTTACTATGGTTATGAGCAATTTTAATGACCAACCTAAATAAAAAGGCTGGAAGAGAGAGAAAGTAGGAAGGAGTGAGGTGGGCGTTTAATTTTGATTGACAAGACAGAGCAGAACTAGTTAAGATCTGTCAAATGCTTGCTGAGGATCACAAATCCTCAGCACATTCTACGGCAGACAGAATTAGTCTAAATGCACAGCTTTACAAAAATATTTCTTATCTGCTGAGATCAGAGTTCAGCATTCCAGCTGCCCCACAGAAAGCAGCTGATGTCGTAACTACCAAAGGAACTAAGGTAGGGCCAGAAAAAATACATGTATATTTTAATTATTTGTATTTCATTCTTAAGTGTTAACATCTACAATGTCTTAATATGTCTTAATTTTTGTCTCTAACCTATATTAATAAAATTATTTCTATAAAATGACAGCATTCTCAAGATTGTTAACTACTAAGACAACAATTTTAAAGGTATTATCAAAGGCACCACTTTGGAATCACATCTGCATCACATGAAATGTTGTATAAATACAGACTACAAAGATAATTCCTGCAATAAAGACCTTAAAATAGGAGACTGAACGCAGAAGGAGTTGAACACAGATTTGATGGGAAATTTCAGGAAACACAATCTGGAAAGACAGAAACACTGGCATGACAGTCAGCTGTGATGTTCCCTGATACACCACCAAAAAACAAGCTTCGGGGAAAATTAAGAACATTCCTGCAAATGAAATAACCAAGAAGGAAGAATAATGGAGAGGTGGAGACCTGGAGCATTTCAAAGTCAGGAACAGAGTTTCATCACCTTGGAGGGAAGAATCAGTATCTCAGCAAGGCACAAGGCAGCATGAGAAGACTAAACCAGCATCTTGTGTTTAAGGCCAGGGAGAAGCAGGATGCACCAAAGGACAGACACAAACAAGATCCAAGATGTGCCTGAACCAAACTCAAAAGATGTTCTCCTTGTTCTCACTTGGCTCTGTTGGGATGCAGGCAGGACACAGTGATCTTCACAGGGCTACACACCCATGAGCTTCGCTGTTTTATCCAATGATGTTAGAATTTTAAGGAGAAAAAAACTCGGCAAGGGAGGATGAGGTTACAAAAGAGGGAAGTCAACAGCTCCGGAGATGCCTGCCAACAGGATCTGCACTTAAAGCGTGCAGTTTTGGCAGAGAACATTCTCAAAATCTGATATTTAAAAGTCTCATGGTGCTGGAACATGTAATTAAAGTAAAAGGATACAAGTGAACTAAGATCTGATCAACACAAACTTGTATCAAAGTCAGAATGTGTTCCAACAGAGTCTCAGCCACCTGGTTCTTCCATGCTTCGTTCAAAGTGAGAAAAATTAGCTACCAACTACTTTTATTCCCACTCAAAATCATCCCATTCCAGCCTCTAAAAGGGATGGATTTGTAAAAATCCTCAAAAACTAAAAAATTCCAAACAAACCCCAAAATTCACGTTGTTTAATTTACTGCCACTTTCCAATTCTAGAGCAATGGATTTGTTGTGAAACTAACTTTTCCTTTGCCTATTAAGGCCCAGGCATTGATGGGTGAAGGAAACAAAGAACAATGAAAACACCTACAATTTCATTCTTGCTCCTCAAGAACTGGAATAAATGAAAGAATTCAAATCCTTCATCAAGAAAAGTCCTGAGGAGAGGAAGCACTTGGGGATATTGGTGGATGGGAAGCTCAACATGACATAAATGGCAATGTGGCTGCTCCATCCCTGGAAGTGTCCAAAGCCAGGCTGGACAGGGCTTGGAGCAACCTGGTCTACTGGAAGGTGTCCCTGCCCACAGCAGAGGGTCAGAATGACATGACCTTTCAGATCCCTTCCAACCCAAACTGTCCTAATATTCTACAAATTTACTGCTGTTTCCTTCCTAGTAGTGCCAACATGAACTCAATAACCAAGAAAAAAAATATAACAAAACAAAACACCAAACAAACAAACAAACAAACAAAAAAAAAACCAACAAAAATAAGGAATTCATGTGACATCTGATTTCTTACTGCAAAGTTTCCAACAGCCAAGCTATCCACCACCAAGTTGAAGAGAAAAGTCAAAGCAGTGTGGAATCAGTTGGCACAAGCTCATTTTTTCACCAGGTAATGCCTCGAAACCTCCCAAACCAACTCTGCTGCCATCAGAGCGGCCTCTTCCTTGGACAGCGACCAGGAACTGCTCACAAATGAAATCCAACCGAATTTATTGCTTCTGCAAGCCTGGAAATTTCAGTTACAGAGGTGACGTGACATTTTGTTTCACCAATGCTAATCTAATACCTTTTTAAAGGTGCATACGTTTCACCCTGTTGGCTTCCAACACTGAATTACCAGCTCTGCTAAGCTTCAGAATAAATGAGACGAGCGTGGCCTCCAGGCAAAATCCCTTTGCTGTAATCTTTATTCAAAACACACCGCTCTGGAGTCTTGCATGCATTGCCAAAAATTGCCTTGAGGTTTGCTCTTAAGATGGCAATTTGCATATCAACATTTTGCTGCAGAGCTTACCCAATGTCCCCGCTATTATTTTAATACTCTGCTGTGGGCGGCCCCCTGAGCAGCTCACAGAAGTGCAGGCTAAAAATATTCCTGCCTTCCCCACCGGCTCCACACATGACCACAGCGAGCGCCGGCTCGGATGCAAAGCCGGCAGTGATGGCATCCACCCGCCTCTCCAGGAGGATGCTCAGGCTCCAAGGTGCTCAAAAAAACATGGCAAGAAGGAGAAAACTAGCTCTGCATGGATGGAGGAAAAAAGCACAGGCGCTGGAGGAGGAAGAGCTGGTTTTACAAGGGAACCAGGAGAAGTTTATCTGCGTGAGAGACATTCTTGGGAAAACACATTAAGAGGTAATAAACCAGGTATGGGAGGCACCGCCTGGGATATGAATTTAAGATGATGCTGAACAGAGGAAGGGGAAGAATTCTCAAGCACAGAACGGGAGCGATGTCGGGCGGACGCGAGCACAGCCTGATTCATGCCCCAGAAGGGAGATCCCAATCCCGCTGGCAGCACCCTGTTGATGACAGCGCATGAAAAACCACGGATTGCAGGTTTTTCTTCTTGCTCTCCTCCCCCTCACCCAGCAAACCCCAGGCTCAGAGGTTGTAATTATTTCTGGCAAGGTGTAAACAGGTCTGGGAAATGAAACTGAAAACTGGAGCTATTTATGAGATGCCACACAGGGAATTGGCATCGGAGCCCGGCTACCAAATCAGCAAGTGCAAGGTCACGCTGGTCTGCTCAGGAGAACAACTTTGCAAAGTGGTTTGCAGCCAGGCAGGCAAAATAACCAGGCTCAGTCTGCCCAGGATGGTGAGTTAATGGAAACAGAGGGTGGAGAACCACCAGAGGACATTGCTCTAGCCAATAACAAGGGATTTATCAAGATGCTGGTAGGCTTTGAGATGATGTCCATCGAGACGACATCCACTCATGACAATCAGCTGCCTCTCTGGGGTGTGACAGAGGAGCAAGGAGGACATCAAGTCCATAAGTGTCCCCCAACCAAGTTGTTGTAGAAGAAAGCAGCCAAGGGACTCATCTGCCCGGTACCATCCAGGCCAGATTGGATGGAGCTTGGTCTAGTGGAAAGTGTCCCTGCTCACAGCAGGGAGATTGGAACAAGAGGATCTTGAAGGTCCCTTCCAACCCAAACCCTTCTATGACCTGCATGTAAATGACCAGTGGAGACCACTCATCCCCTTACTCTGCAGGCCACCAGTTGCTTCCAAGGAATTGGATTATTGCACAAACACAGGAAAAACCACAAATTTTGAAAAGTAATTTCCTTTCTGCTGGTGGAGGAAAGAAGCAAAAGCTAAACCATCCCAGCAGGAGGATCTCACAGCCCAATGGGGCTGAAGGAGCCAACAGCATCTCAAACCCACAAAACAGCCACCGAGGAAAATTCAAAAAGTCTTTTTGGTATCACCAAAAGGAAGGAAATTAAAAGAGATGGTCAAATTCAGGAAGTACAGGCAGAGAGGCAGTGAGTGCCCCTGGGGATAGCATGATCTCCAGACTATTTTCTGCACACTCTTTATATTCTGTGCTCAAATACCTCACAACCAGGACTAGGACGCACAGCTCTGTTTCTGAGATTACACTTAAGTTATGATTATTTTTTAAATGGAAGGCAAGCACAGTGCAGTAAGAAAAGAACTGGCCAAACAGAGAAGAGCAAGCCTGAACATCTCAGGGCTTGTGAGATATCTTTATATATGAAAGGAAACAAAGGTACACCTGGACAATGTGCAAAGGAATATAAATTTTAAAAAAGCAGACCTTGGTTTCCATGCACAGGGAAGAGGACTTTGACAATTAATTTGCCAGTATTCCCATAAGGGAAAAAAAAAAAACAAAAACAACCCACCTGAATTCCAGTCTCATGACTGCACTATGTTTGGAACAAAGGAGACAAAATCAGAGAAGTGGAGGATGCCTCATCTCTGGAAGTGTTCAAGGCCAGGTTGGATGGGTTTTGGAGCAACCTGGGATGGTGGGAGGTGTCCCTGCCCACGGCAGAGGGTTGGAAGAAGGTCCCTTCCAACCCAAACCATTCCAGGATCCTATGAAACCCACCTGCTTCAGCTCTGAAAATGATCAACAGGAAAACATCTGTAGTGAGAGTCTCAGTTTGCTTTTTCAAATTCAAAGGCGTCCTGTTTTACACAAATATTGCAATCCTGTTTTCACCACTTGCTAAGACGTCTCTCCAAGGGGCTGGTTTGGGCACTCAGCTAGGACAGAATCCATTACATTTTTTAAAAACAAACCCATAGCTATGAAACCTTCCCATGGTGCATGATCAAAACTTAGGAGGGCTTTGGAAAGCACACTGTTTTGCTCTAAAAGAGAAGTGTCAAAAAGCTTTGGACAGCATTTCTCAGGCTTCCACACCCACATTTTGCCACTTACTACCACCTTTGAGCACTTGCTGTTAATGGAAGCTGAAAGTCCTTGACACTGAGAAATCAAGTCTCTAACATGCAGTAGCCTCAGCATAATTTAAGCACCACTATTTTAATTATTTTAGAGTTTTACCATATTTATCATGAGTAAAAGTAGATTTAGTAAAATTACTTGATTTTTGATCATCACTGCAGCTCTGGATAGCTTTAAAACCTGCATGGGATGGTCTGCAAGAGGATGGGGATGATCAGGAGGTTGGACAAACTTCCCTGATCACAGCTATGAGTATTCACCATGGCCTCATCCTGCCCACATCAATCCCACAGCACTTTTGGCAGAGAAGAGACTAAAATTTTAAATTCCTTAAAACAAAAGCCAAAATTCCTAAAAATTTTAAATTCCTTAAAACAAAAGCCAGAACATAAAAGCAAACAAAACCACATCCAGTATTATCATATATATTTGAGTTTTATATATATGGTCTTATGCACAATATTACAGAAATTAGTTGTTCATTTAATAACATACGTATATTTGTAAGCTTAATTTTTCATACTTTTTCCCTGAGCATTCACAACCTACAGCAGAATAATTGATGGAACTGACATCAGGGTCACCCCAGCATGACAGGCACTCAGGTAAGGGAGCAGCTGGAGATTACCAAGCACACAACATTTAATACACTTGGGGGAAGGTAAATCACATCTCAAGCTATGTAACACTATGTCTAAATTTGTATAAATCAGGTATTTAGAAATTAGGAGGTTCTCATGAGAGTCTAGATAGCGAATAGTGTCACAAGGGATCACGAATCAATTGTTTTTGTGGGAAAAAATATAGTGAAAAACTGTATTAAGGTTTGATTCAGTTCACTCGAAGGAAAATCCAAAGCCCTGCAGCTTCCAAGAAGAATTTCTGTCACGTACAGGGTCCATAGCGAATAGTGTCACAAGGATCACAAATCAATTGTTTTTGTGGGAAAAAATATAGTGAAAAACTAAATGTATTAAGGTTTGATTTAGTTCACTCGAAGGAAAATCCGAAGCCCTGCAGCTTCCAAGAAGAATTTCTGTCACGTACAGGGTTATATGAAACAAGGTGCTACCCAGCACTGCTCCTGCAGCCTCATCAACGTCCCCCATCTCCAGATTCACGGCAGCATTTTTATCTCCAAAATCAGAAGAATTTGGAGCATAGTGAACATCTCCATGCTGGGATACGGGATGCTGCAAAGCATTTGTTAATAATTCAGCTCAAACCTAATTGTAATTACCTACAGTGAGTTGCAACCTCTGGTCCCTGTGATCTGGAGCACTTCCCATCCCTGGAGTGTCCACAGCCAGGATGGATGGAGCTCTGAGCAGCCTGGTCTGGTGGAAGGTGTCCCTGCCCATGGCTGGGGGCTGGAATGAGACGATCCTGAAGGTCTCTTCCAACCCAAACCGTTCTATGATTCAAGGAATCTAAAATTGAAGCGACTATTCCATAACTTGCAGACCCAGTGAGACATCATCCAAATCTTCCCCGAATAGCCCAGGAGGATTTTGTTCCTCTAAGACACCCCAAAAACTAGGGCAGACAAGCTGGGCAGGCAGCACCATTGCATGAGGACTGTGGTGACAGTCATGAGATGTCACCTGTCGGTAAATCACAGAATCACAGAATGGTTTGGGTTGGAAGGGACCTTAAACATCACCTCATTCCAAACCACTGCCATGGGCAGGGACACTTTCCACTAGACCAGGTTGCTCAGCTTCTTCAGCTTAAAGCCATTCCCTCTTTTCCTATCACAAAAAATAAGGGAATTTCAAAGTGGGGGAAGAAGGATGAAGAAAAACAGAATTCCTGGCTTTGTATGGAATTTTTTACAAAGCAGCCATTAATAGCAAGTTTGGGAGTTCCCTCATACCATATTTGAGTCTCTGGCATCTCACACAGCCCAGAAATGGGTTAATCCAAAAATCTGGGTCATAACACCTCCAAATCTGCCTGGTTTTTCACATGTAGAAAAATAAAGGAGGCACCTCCCTCCTCCACGCAGAAGCATCACAAGAAGATTCATTAAAAATGGGGAAAAAAAAGCAACAGGTTTCAGCAATGAGCATGATCAAAGTCTCTCGTGGAAGACAAAATGTTTTATTTTACACAAATAAGAACTATGGCAACAGCTCTGGAATAAAATCCTACAGCACGGCTGTCTCCTGCACTCCTTTACTCCATGCACCAGATGATGGAGGAATCCTACAAGGGGAAAAAAAATACATGGCCAAGTTATTCAAGACCAGAAGGACAATAAATGTATGCAGAGAGGAGAAGGAGGACTAATAAAGTCCTCAATAACCTCAAAAAATCTTATTTTTGCAATGCCTGGCTTTGCAGCAGAGGAGACAGTAGAGAAAGAACTAAACAAATGCTACACAATGAAGAGCATCACACATTTTGCAGTAATTTTCTGCTTTTATTTAAGAAAGTGATGACAGAGAGAGTGAAGAGATCATCACCTCACCCAACATCAGTACTTACTTCCAAAAAAAGGAATTTTACAAAAAAATAATAATAGTAAGTATAGGTATTGCAGCCAAGTTTGACTTCATTCAAGGAGTAGCTGGAAAATATTTTCCAGATTTTGCTTGCAGCATCCCAGCAGATGAACTGACAACACACCTACATTGCCCTTGGGAGAGCTTTTCCCCACAGCTCTGCATCCCAGGAAAAAAAAAATTCAAAAACACCTGCTGATATATCATTTCTTCTTATTTCTGCACCAATCTTCAGGATGCATTTAAAAAGCAACTGATTATCAGTGCAATCTTTGCTTTTCTAATGGACACAAAAAATGGACATATGAAAAAAAAAGAAAGATAATCCATCCTGCTCCTTTTTTTATTTTAGTTAAATGCTATTTTTTCTATCATCAGAAACACTGCAGAGATGTGCCCATGCACTACAACAAAGAGATGGCACCTGCCTACTGAATTTCCTGACTAGTGACACTTGGAAGAAAAAGAGTTTTAAATAGAAACCTCCCTGCAAGTGTTAAATCAGATTAATTTAACTCTTGCGTTATTTTAATCTTAGACACCACCATTTGCAAGGCAAGCAGGGAAAAAAAAATAGGGAGTAGGATTCTTATCTTGACCATATTCTTTGGGAAATACAGTGTATTATTAAAAACCACAAATAGCCTTTTTGACAGCAAAATACAGACACATCTGGCTAATTTGCAGTAGGAAAAAAGCACCAACATTTTATGAAGCTTTTTGTTCACTCAGCCTCAAGTGAAGGGCAGAGCTTTCCTCCAGCCTTGTGGTGCCCAATGCCACTGCCAAAAACACCAATGCCAGTTTGGGGCCACACTTTGGATTTGCACGTGGCAAAAAGTGTTCTGCAAAATACAATGCAGTTTGAAAGGTTGGTGATGCTGCTGAGGAAGAAGTTTCGCAGAATTTCCCCCACAAACACCATCATGGAGGTACACTCTGATACTCCAGTTGTGAGTTAGGCTCATGCTTAAATAATGGATTAAATTATTAAAATTAATAATTAAACAGCTGGATTAAATTTATACCAAGGGGATCATGTCATAGGAAAACACACACATTGTAATGGTCAGGAATCATTGAATGGTTTGGGCTGGAAGGGACATTAAAGATCATCCAATTCCAACCCCCTGACACAGGCAGGGACATCTTCCACAATCCCAGGTTGCTCCATGCCCCATCCAAACTGGCCTCAAACACTTCCAGGGATGGGGCAGCCACAACTTCTCTGGAAAACTTGTGCCAGGGCCTCCCCACCTTCACAATAAGGGATTTCTTCCTAATATTGAATCTAAACCTGCCCTCTGTCAGTGGGAAGATATTTTCCCCATTGTATCACTCCAGGCCCTTGTCCAATGTCCCTCTCCAGCTCTCTTGGAGCCCTTTTAGGCACTTTAAGGGACTCTCCCTGGAGCCTTCTCTTCTCCAGGCTGAAAATCCCAGCTCTTCCAGACAGGCTCCAGAGCAGAGGGGCTCCATCCCTCTGATCCCCTTGGTGGCCTCCTCTGGACTTGCTCCAACAGCTCCATGTCCTTCCTGTGCTCTGCAGGTGGGGTCTCACCTGAGAAGGGCAGAACAACCCCCTCAGCTGCTGCCCACCCTGCTTTGGATGCAGCCCAGGACACTCTTGGATTTTTGGGCTCCACATGCCCAAAAATGGCTGGGTCATGTCCAGCCTCTCATCCACCAGCACCCCCAAGTCCTTCTCCACAGGACTGCCTTCAATCTGTTCTTCCTCCAGCCCAGACACCAGAGGTGGAAACACACAAACAACCATGCCCTGGGGGTGGAAAGATTCATCCATCCAACCATCCATCCATCCATCCATCCATCCCGGGACTAAACCTGGACACACAAGTCCTTTCCAGTGCAATCAGCCCCTAGCAATGACAACTCCAACCCTGAATAAAACAGAGGCTCCTCCTGACCACCTAAACCCCTCAGGTCTCACCAATTTCCAGGCCTCTGAAGCACCAGAAACCCTTGGAAGGTCCATAAAAACCCAAGTGAGAGGTACCCAGCTCACCCCACAGCACAAAGCAGGTGAACTGTAGGAAGGAGGATAATAACGATGGGAAAACTAAATTACAAGTTTGTAACAGTTCATTCCACTTTCATCGAGCAGAATGTGTTTATGGTACAGGCAGGGAATCGAAAGTATTATTTTTATCTTGATATTATTTGCCCTTTCACACTTGCTATTTAAATATTCCTGAAATCCTAGAAGAACCAACAATTCAAAATACCATTATATATATATATATATATATATATATAGATATATAGATATATGGAAGGGGAAGCACAGACTCATTCATTTTTAGCTTCCCTCTTTTCTTTTTCTTTTCAATTACATTTTAAGTGCTGTAATGTCAATGTGGAAATTTATCAAGACACTGAATATTTATTTTTCCTCCACTCCTGATAAAGATTCTCCAGACCCACAGCAGGCAGGGAGACCTGGTCACACCAGAGGGTTGTGTGATGAGGAGTAAATAATAAGAGGTTTAAAATATTTTAAATAAATGAATAAATAAACAAATCAAGAGAGCTGTGAGAAAATGAATGAGGTTGCTTGCAAGAGAGGATGGGAATAAAATATTGTAATATTGAAATCTCTGTTCTACCAGACTCTACTAAATTGCTTAGAGAATCACAAAACACTTTGGGTTGGAAGGGACCTTTACGTTCATCCAGTTCCAACCCCAGCCATGGGCAGGGACGCCTTCCACTATCCCAGGCTGCTCCAAGTCCCATCCAACCTGGCCTTGAACATTTTCAGGGATTGGGCATCCACAGCTTCTCTGGGCAGCCTGGTTCATTGCCTCACCACCCTGTAACTCTTGATTTAGACACAATAACAGAAAGAAACAGGGATGGAATCTGAATCAGAAGCCTGGATCAAGCAGGACACATGGCTGCACTGATCAGCCTCTCCCACATCCATCAAAGCTGCATTAGTAGTCAAGCTAATTTTTAGTTGCATTAATAAACAAAAGCAAAGCAGGAAGGTAGGAGGCTTTGGAGAGCTCAAGCAGGGTGATTTGTTGTGTGGATGACCTCTGGAAAGTGGGAATCAGCACATCTAACACCTAGAAGAAGTCCAGAAACCAGACTGAGGATGAGAGGGAAAAGGATGTTGCAGCTGGCAAAGATGGCAGAGCAGGAAGGCAACAAGGGGTCAGACAGCAAAGCACTGACACATCAGGGATTTAAAATCCTGAATTTGCATCAACACAAAGAGGGATTTTCCAGAAGGGCATGGGGTGATAGGAGAAGGGGGAATATCATTGAGTTAAATGAGGGTAGATTTAGGTTGGATTTTAGGAAGAAAATCCTTAATGACAGAGTGGGAGGCCCTGGCAGAGGCTGCCCAGAGAAACTGTGGCTGCCCCATCCCTGGAAGTGTTCAAGGCCAGGCTGGATGGGCTTTGGAACAACCTGGGACAGACGAAGGTGTCCCTGCCCATGGCAGAGTAGTAGAACTGGATGGTGTTTAAGGTCCCTTCCAACCCAACCCATTCCATGATTCTATGATTAACACTCCAGACAACACCCAGAGTTCAACCTGGAGATGAGATGGAAAAGGGCATCACAGCTGGAGAAGACAGCAGAGCAGGAGAGCATCAAGGGGTCAGACAGCAGCTGGGCTGAGTCAGTGGGGATTTAAAGACAACAAACATCTGCAGGGACACCTGGACCACAGCAGAGCCCAGCAGGGCAGGACTGAGCACTGTATGTTCACAGCCCCATTGGAAAGGGAAAAGCCAGTCTGGAAAAAGGGATAAATGCTTGATGAAGTATAAACCGTATTGCTAAACCAAAAAAAAAAAAAAAAAAAAAGGGTGGGGGAAAACCCTCATATTTTCATCAATCCTTCCCACTCTGCAGCACACAGCCAGTAAAAATTTAGGATTCAGCCTGCTGAATCCTAAATGCTTTGTGCAGAATAAAGCACAAAGCAAAACTTGGAGCCGCCACCCCACGCAAGGGTTTGCAAACAAACATCTCCTTGTTCCTGCAGCACTCCCAGAAACAAGGATGCTCCTCAAGCTCAAAAATGTCAGAGACAACTTCAAATGCTAACAAGAAGAGAGTTCTGCAGGGCGTATTCAGCGTGCTGGTGGCAGAATAAAACATGCCTTTCGCTTTCCAAACCCTCTGCTTTTTGATATGCACACAAAGACAGCGAACACTTCCATGGGAACACGAGGTTTCCCCAGCAAAGTCCACTCCAGCGCCAGATGCCGGAGGTTAATTGTACCCCACAGCTCGGGGGAGCTTTTATTAAAAGCTTCAAACCACAAACACTTTTCCAACTACAAAAGCAACCAAAAAAAAAAAGTTTCTGCAGTCAGCCGAGGGCCACCACAGAAAGGGCGCTTTGTACATTTAAAAGTGGTTTTATTTCCTCTCCTTGTACTTCCAAATCCATCCCACTGCCTCAAGCTCCTGAATTAGCCTGGAAGGAGGAAAAAATAATAAATAAACAACATCATGCTCTCTGTGTGGTTAAAACTGAGCAAAAACCTGGCAGGTAACAAGCTCAGGAGCAGTTCCCAGCGTTGTCATTGTGCTGGAAATTGATAAATCAGGGTTTCTTCCTGAGCAGCTGTGGGACAGTGACAAACTGGGTGCAGGGACATCCCATCCTCACCCAGTCACCAGTGACATGGGACACAGGTGGGGTCCAGAGCACCCTCACACATGCCCCTCCCTGCTCACAGCTCTGGGCAAGGCCAGCCCTGTCCCCAAATCTCTCCTTGCACACATAAAACACTGCACAGCAGCCACAGCCCCCAATTTCCACCCATAGACCCTGTGCCACCCCCATCCCCATGTCACACACACCACCAGCTCTGTCCCCATGTCACACACTGCCCCCTGTGCCAGGGCACTCCTGTCCCCATGTCACATGCACACCCCAAACTCCTGTGCAAGCCCTGTCCCCATGTCACATGCACACCCCCAACTATGCCAGATCAGCCCTGTCCCCATGTCACACACATACCCCCTGTGCCATGTCCTGTCCCCATGTCACACACATACCCCCTGTGCCATGTCCTGTCCCCATGTCACACACATACCCCCTGTGCCATGTCCTGTCCCCATGCCACCATGTCACACACCCCCTGTGCCATGCCCTGTCCCCATGTCACACACATACCCCCTGTGCCCGTGTCGCACACACCCAGGCCAGCCTGTCCCGATGTCACACACACGCAAAGTGCCAGGCCTGCCCTATCCCCTTGTACACAGCCCCACCCCACCTGTACCAGGCCAACGCTGTCCTTATGTCGCACACCCACACACACAGTGCCAGGCCATCCCTGTCCGCATGTCACACACGCACACACGCCTGTCCCCGTGTCACACAAACCCCCAGTGCCAGCCCAGGCCGGTTCCCGTGTCACACAGCCCCAGTGTCACCGCTGTGCCCCCGTTCCCAGCCCGTGTCACCGCCCTGTCCCCACGGCACGACCGCCGCGCGCCCCTCACCTGCCGCCGCGCGCCCGTCACCGCCGGCACCCAAACATCACGTGAGCGCCGTGGCCCCGCCCACCTCGACCACGTGTCACTCCCTCCCCCCATCGTTGTAGTCCTCATCCCGTTGGTATAGCATGCTTCGCTCCTCTCTTTGCACTACAACTCCCAGAGTGCACCGCGACGCGGCGTCCCGTCCCCTTCACCCTTCAACCAATCGGCGAAGGGGACGGCCCGAGGGGGCCCCGCCCACCTCTGAGCACCTCCCTCTTCAGGGCGCGGCCCGGGGCCGCCCCTCAGGAGCTGCTTTGAGGCTGCCGCTGCTCCGGGCGGTGTTCTCTGTTCCACATCCTCGTCATCCTCGGTGCCCTCCTCACCTTCACCCTCCTCAGGAACGGCTGGGGGTGCTTATTATTCCGTAGAGTGGCGTCTCAGTGGGCTCCTCATCACTCTACAGCTCCCTGACAGGAGGGGGTTCGGTTTCTTCTCCCAAATAACGCTAGCGTAAAAAGAAACCACCTCAAGTTGCACCAGGGGAGATTCAAGTTGGATATTAAGAAAAATTATTCACTGGAAGGCTGGCCAAACATTCTAAAGGGCAAGTAGTGGATTCACCTTTCCCTGGAAATGGCAAAATAAAGTGTAGACGTGGCGCTTGGGGACAGGGTTTAGTGGCGAATTTGGCTGTACTGGGTGAGTGGTTGGATCCAGTGATCCTTCAGGTCTTTTCCGGCCTTAATGATTCCGTGATTCCCTGACAGGTCTATGCCCTCCTTCGTAGCCTCACAGTGCCCAGGGCACTGCTCACAGAAATAAATGAACAAACCCCACCAACTCTCTGCTACTAAAGCCGCTAATTCTCTCCAAAACACCACAAATTGCAGCCCAGGACTGGAGGTTCACCCAGATGAAGTGCTTTGATAGAGCAGTGGGGAGTACAACTGTACCTGCGAGGAGTTTGCTTTTTATTTGCCAAGCGACAGCAGCTTTACGTGGTGGCTGGCTTGCAAAAGGAGTTATAAAGAGGATTTTCTTGATAGAGCCTTTAACCAGCAATTCATTTTAACAAGGGACTGACAAGCCAGCTGCCTGTTCAGAAATGGAGTTCTGCACCAGTAGCCCTGCTAAAAAAAGCTTTAAAAGGGCTGAGGGGCCACCTGAGCCTCCATAAACTTCAGGGTTTTACAGCACCGAGCTGTTTCCTCCATCTTTTGCTGCATTCATAATCATTTATTTCTGTGGACTCTGAGGAAAATCCCTTAGGAGAAGGGACATAAAAATATACTGATAACGAAGTACAGCTGTCTGCTTGTCATCTGCAAAATCCTCTGAGTACAGCTACATGTGCAACGCCCTGTGTCTTGCTGGGTGGGTTTTTTGTTGAGAGGGAAGGAAGAATGAGTTAATCCTGCACGAAGCATAGATTACATTTCAAAAACCGCTGTGAAAATTTTGCAGTAATTTTCAGTACAAATCATATTTACCTCCAGCATGAGCCTCATGAAAGTAAATAAGAAAAGAAATATATAAACACGTGCCAATATAAAACAGCGCAAGTATTCCAAGGGACAGCAATCATAAAAATTACAGTGGGATAAATCTCATATGACTGCTTTGGTTTGCAGGCTGCATCTTGCTGGTTTTGCATTTTGGAGCTGGAGAAATACTGCTTAATCAATACGTGCGTTATTCATACAATAATAATGCTGCACATTCTCTTGGGACATTTTTCTTCTGAGGAATTTGAGCTGTTGCAAACCTTCTTATTGTGTGCAGCAGGGCTAGTCCTTGTTATTAACAGCTGCTTATTGATCTGTAACAGCTTTTAGAAAAACTCAGGGTGGGTTTTTGGCATGGTGTGGAAGTCAGGTCTTTTACATAAGCAAGGCGTTGTGCGTCATTAAGATGTTGCTTTCTCTAAATTAAGGGGAAAAAACCCATATAATTAACAGCTTTGTTCCATCCCACAGTGATAACATCTATAAATCTGAAAAATATACAGTCAGCTGTATGGGAACCAAAGCTCCAGGGGCCAAAATTTTATTAAAACAGCTTAATCTTCATGTTCCTCATCTTTGAGTGGGAGGAAGTTGCCCATTTACCAGATGCTGTGTGGCGTTTTCCAAGGTGGAAGCAGCGATTTCTTTCCACGTGAACAAAGCTGGAGGTCAGACCCCTGAACCTGGAAGGGTTGGAGAAATGTGACTTGGGGATGAAGTTATCAGTGGATTTCTGCTTTGGAAAACTGCCCCTATTCCTCTGTGAAGATGAAATGGAGGATCTCTAATGGAATTTAAGTAAACTCATCTGTGATGCTTTCACCTCATCCCTGCTGGGATGATTACCCGCTTAGGCTGGCTGTGTCTTTAGGGAATTTCTTCCACTCCTTGGAAGGAGTTTCCTTTTGGCTCACAGGTTTCTTTTGTGAATCATCTTAAATCATAGCCTCTTAATAGCTGGGCTATTGAAGTATTTATGGAAAGGTAATCCAATTGTCCTCTTGGTTACTTTTTCCCTAAGCTGTGTGTATTTGTCTTCCCTGTAATGATTTGTATTACACCCTATTACATCCTTACAAATAACTCACTGAGGTTTCTTTCCTATACTACAGGACTTCTCTACAAAGCAGGAGAACCCAGACAAATGACTTGCATGAAATAAAGTGTGGGTTTTAGGTTATAATTTGGATTATGTTCTTAACACCAGGTATATTGTCTAAGGTGCTATTTATTTCTCTCCTGTATTGGATTGACTGGAAATGTTGATAAAATCAGGAAGAGTGAGGTAAATAAAAAATATGTCACGAAAAAGGGTCAGTGAGTGCCTAATTTATCCCATTAGGACACAGATGTAAACATGGGAGCAAAACCATCAGGGAAGAAAAAAGAACAACTTATCATTGCAATCACATGGAGGAGAAAGCCTGGATATTTGTCCAGAGTATGTACAAATACATTTCTCCAGATTTTAAAATGTTCTAGGAATTATTTATTTATTTAGGGTAGTTTTACATATGTGTTTAAGGAGTATCCACTTAAAAAAACAAATAAACAAACAAAGCCAACAAAACCCCCCAAAACAACAACAAAAGCCAACCAAACAAAGCAAACAAACAAGAACCCAAACCAAACCCCACAAAATTTATTTTCAGAAGTTCCTTTCTTTTTTTGGTCCAGTTTCTTTTCAGATTTAAGTAAGAAAGTATTCTCCCCTTTTCTTCCCATATTCCTGCTTTCTTTTATTTTTTTTTTCTCCTGCTTTTTTCAGTTATTAGGCTGGACTTGTGGCATTCCTGAAGACTGCTGGAAAAAATAAAGCTGTTTTTTTTTAGCAGTACTCAACTTTTCAATGCTGAATTAATTGGCCAACCACACAGTTGGAAAAGCACTTTTTTCTTTTATAAAATGCCTTACACACCAAGTCAACTGCAAGGAGCACAACAACAATCACAAGTCGGCCTGAATGCTTCACAAAACCAAGGCTGACTCTTATTTCCTATTTCCAGACATTCATCCAGTGACCTAAGATTCCCTGAAAACAGCGCAGCTCAGAGAGCTTATCACAGCACATCCGTATGTTGCTACCTGTGAGCAATTTAATAAAAAAGATATTATAGCAACACTAAAAGGAGTCTGGAAAAAGCCAGCTAATCCCTGAACAACCTTATTTCAGTCTATTTAAAGTCCAAGAGAGCCTTGAATTCCAGGACTGAGCAAAATCGGGCATAAAACAGATGTTTTCGTCAAGTACTGCAGTGGCAGCAATACATGTCCCAAGCTATGACCACCTGGCAAGTCTGGTACGTCACAAGGAAGAATCACGAGCCATAAAGAAATGATTTTCAATACTTTGTCTACTCCTGCATCAGTTACATCTGGTTATAGCTGCAATAGCTGTGGATTTTAGTGGTATTTCACTTGGATTTATCTGAGTGTTGCTACATCTGACCCTTCCTTTTCTGGAGACATCTGACTGCACCTGAATTAGGAAAATAAAAGCCACGAGCCAATGTAAAAAACTTTGTCTCCGAGGCAGTGATAAGTCAATCACCTCGTCAATAACGCGTGTCCAATACTCTCAGTAATCCCGGTGATCAGTTTTGCTTATGGAAGCTGGAGATGTTAAATCGAGCTCGGAGCAGGGATGACAAGTGGCAATTGAAAGTGATGTTGACAGAGCTAAAGGAGCCCATGCTGAGAGCAACAGATGTAACACAACGGTGAGGGAACGGGGCTAAACCGGGCTGGTGGCGAGGAAAACTCAAGAGGTCGGAACAAATCCCTCACTCCACTTAACTCCGTGACAAAACACCGGTGATCTTTCGCTCGGTTCAGCAGTGCTGCACCTGGATAATCAGGAGGAAAAATTGGAGGGCGCAGGGGAGCCGTGGCCCAGGAGCTGCAGGTATGAAAGATGCAAGGAAGGCACTGCAAAGAATGAATGGAGGTTTCAGCTCTGAAAATCTCAGTGCTTCCTCCTTCCCTATGACAATTCTTCCCCAAGGCTGGGTTGGATGTGGCTTTGAGCAACCTGGTTTAGTGGAAGGTGTTCCTGCCCATGGCAGAGGGGGTGGAATGGGATAATCTTAAGGTCTCTTCCAACCCAAACCATTCTGGGGCATCTAAAGGTATCAAAGTATCCAGAGTATAACTGAAAACCTCCTTTTTATACTGCAGTTGTGAAATAATGAAAAAGGAACACCTGAAATATAAGTGGGTCTATAGGAAAATAAAAAAATGGGAAAAAAACTCAGAAACTAAGAAAAACATCTGGATTTAAAATGTAATTCTGGTTTAATTCATCATCTGTTTTTAAGGCTGAATTTCCTCTACCAGAATCAAGTCTCTATTTGGTTACTGTTATTAAAGATGCAGTTACTACTACTCATTAGACAAGAATTGTTCTTTCTGCCTCTGCTTTCATCCAGTTAATAGTTTTTTTCCCCCCAAATTATACATTTTCAAAGGTAAAGGGTTTTCTACAATTTTTGCTGTATAATGGGGCACTTAAGGACATGGTTTAGTGATGGA